TTTATTTTATTACTCTACTATGTAACTATTTATATTGTAGATTTGCACGAAACGTTATCTTTCGAAAAGGAACTTTTGTTTTTATCTAGGGAAAAGAGGGCCGATGAATTTTGCTCCTTTTTTAAACACGTGTAGTATTAATATCCTCAAGCGCTCAGTGACTTTTGGCAAACTATGTGAACGAGAGTCTTATTTTATTTCATTATTCTATGTAAATGTTTATATTGTAGATTTGCATGAAACACCATCTGAAGCTCAATGACTTTTAGCAAACTATATCAAAGAGGAACATCTTATTTTATTTTATTACTCTACTATGTAACTATTTAGATTGTAGATTTGCACGAAACACTATCTTTCGAAAAGAGACTTTTGTTTTTATCTAGGAGAAAGAGGGCTGATAAATTTTGCTCTTTTTTTAAACACGCGTAGTATTAATATCCTCAAGCGCTCAGTGACCTTTAGCAAACTATATCAAAGAGGAACATCTTATTTTATTTTATTACTCTACTATGTAACTATTTAGATTGTAGATTTGCACGAAACACTATCCTTCGAAAAGGAACTTTTGTTTTTATCTAGGAGAAAGAGGGCTGATGAATTTTGCTCTTTTTTTAAACACGCGTAGTATTAATATCCTCAAGCGTTCAGTGACTTTTAGCAAACTATATCAACGAGAGTCTTATTTTATTCTATATAAATGTTTATATTGTAGATTTGCATGAAACCACCATCTTTCGAAAAAAGAACTTTTGTTTCTGTATGTGTAAAAAATTTACTTAGAAATTAGATTCGCACAGCACAACAAATTTTAAAGTCCACGAGCTGGTGGACTTTAAAGGATTAAAATTTCAAATGGAGGTAACGAAGAACAGCTCGGCTATTTTTGTAGAAAAAGTAGAATTGATGGTTGTATACGGTGGTACGAAAAGGAAGCTTTTGCAAAGGAAGGAGGAACTGTTGACGACTAAATGAAAAGAAGGCAAAGTTGGGACGAAAAGTGCATATTCCGAGGAAAGTCTTCGGATTATTTCGAAGTCCGTTTCTCCGTTTGTGCGCGGATTATGTCTCCAATGTTAATTTACTTTTCGAATCCGTGTTACAATATTTACACAGGTTTGTTAGACGTGCAAATAAAAGGAACCAGGTTCCTTGCAGGAATTGCAGGGAACGGTGCTTTTTAAAATAAAACTGTTGAAGTTAATTGAGCGAAATAATCGAATTCAGTTCGGCGAACGACTGAAAAGATTACACTATCCCGGGATAACTAAATTTTTCTACATTCACGGACAACGACTGCTCCGTAAACTGTTTGCAAGTTCAATTATGTAACCAGAGCTCCCCATAAACGAATTTCCCATCTATGCATTGCCTTTTAATCTCCATCGCTCTTCAAAAGAAAGAAAGAAACATTTTCCATCTCGTATAAAGAAATGTTTCTTCTTTCTCTCACCGAAGTCAATTCGAACAGAAGAAGTCACATGATTAAACTGGAAATGTCACTCGAACTCGAAGAATCAGGTCAGCCTTGATCACTGATCTACGACCTTTAATAATACCACGACAACCTTTGATCATCCACCGAGTAATAAATCCAAAGAAATAATCACTCTGTCATACAGGATGAAACAATAGGAAAGGTACGATCCCCTCCACTTTTCGGCCGAGCAAACCTCCGGGTGGAAAAGCGGCAGGGACTTTTGCAGCTCTTTCAGCGTAGCCCACATTTGCATAGGCGCTGGCCTCGCGAGAGGGTGAATCCTTGGCGCAGTTTGCGTCACTGCTGTTGGATTCGCTTCGACTGATCCTCGGTCAGGCTTTACTACTCCCTTCGGAGGGCGCGCGCGGAGCCCCAAGGGGAGGCTGCGTGTTTTCAACAGGGGTTGGCCACGGTGGTTCTACTCGCGTCCCCGGGAAAACTCGAAAAATCTCAACTCTAGCAAGACGGGAATACGGCGTGGACGTAACGACCCAGTTTGTGCCCGCGAATTCGCTCGCCGCGATGGACAAGGAACGATTGAACGCGAACGGCGCGCGTAAGAGCGAGATGAACGACGAAAGAAAGGAACAACGTAGGGGAAACGTTTGCGAACAGCGAAGGACGGATCAGAGTTGAGAAGGACAAGGACAAAGGCAGAGAGGGAAGGCACGGAAGGGACGAGGATAAGACGACAACGAGAATAGGAGGCGAAAGGTTTTGAAGCAGAATACCCGTAGGACAGCTGAGACTCCGGGATGTAGGGGAAGGAGAGGGTCGAATGGAAGGCTGAGGGTGGGGGGAGCAGCGAGATAGGAGAAGAATCCGGCAAGATTAAGCGGAGAAGGAAAGAGCGGAGCGCGAGGGAGTGGGGATAGGTCGCTGGAAGCGGCGAGAGAGGGAAGGGGACGGTCGGTGGTGGGGGCAATAAACACGCCGGCGCCTCAGTATCGTCGCGTCCATTGAGGGAGTCGGTTCGTGACGAGCTCGGTCTCTCCCTTCGACGCGGAACAAAAAAGCTCGGTCCGGGATCGCCTCCGATTCTCTACGACGAGAATTCTGCCCGTGACAAGCTTGCTCTCGCGTATTATTCGTTGCTCGCGTGACGATTCGTTCGCGTAACGCGATGATAACGCCGCGTTCCTTCGACGACGAAGGCTAGCCTTGCCCTTGAAACGGCAGCCGGAGTTTCGAGTGGCCGACACACAGCGTAACGCGCACGACGACGTTCCCACCAGCTGTGTCCCCCGGAATCCGCGTGTGTGTTGTGCTCGACGTTTCTTTTTTTCCTCTCTCTCTTTTTGTTTCTCTTGTTCTTTCGTTCTTCTGTCGCCTGTCGTTCGTGTCTTGTTTCACCGTGATTTCCGTGGCAAAGGGAAACTTCGTCGAGAAATGGTCTCTCGCCCTCTGTTCCTTCGTTGAACGCGTTTTGTTTCCTGTTCGGTTTTGTTTTGGTGTTTACTGGTGATAATCTGCCACGGGACAAAGGGACACCGGAGCCAGCCGCTGCGAAACAGCAACAGAGACGGGACAGAGTGGGAGAGAGAGATATCGTGGTGTATCGATCGAGAGTGGAGCTTCCAGTTGACGTAAGTCGATGAATTTTGTCCTTTGCGAGTAATGATCCAAGTGGTGGCGTACATACGTATACATGTACATCGTTCGTGCGGATGTATATCGTGTGTGTGTGTGTGTGTGTGTGTGTGTACACATACCACGTATAGATGCTTAGGAGTCTCTCCTCGGAAGCGTATTTATATTTTACGTAAGTCATGCAGCTCTAAGCGCGCGGTGAACTGGTTTCCTTCTCTCTCTCTCCCTTATCCTGCCGCGTATTCGAGAGCTTGAAATAGTCCGACGCCAGAGAGAAGTTCACTGCCTCTGCTCGATTGTGTCATTGAGGTTATGCGATTTTTCTTCTCAATCGGGAGACGCGCGTGATTCTCTCGGCTAGCTGTGCGTGCCTGTGTTCCTCCTTCGTGTGCACATTCGGATATTCGCGTCGAAAACGATACGTGTACCTGTCGATTTCTATCGTTTCTCTCAGATATCAGAGCGATATTTTAAAGTTTCGTAGTACATCGATTCGGCAGGAAATACTACATTGTTACAGAATGACTGAAAGTTTCGTCGATGAAAGGAATCGAATGAAAGGGACACCCCTTTGCGCGGAGTTATTAAAGCCTCCATTAAGAGGAGTAAACTTTTGGGAAATTTTCGAAAGTTTAAATGGAAAGCTCGCCTCGGGAGCATGGTAGCCGTTTGGTGAAGAAGTTGAATAGAGTGTTATGTGAATAGACCATCTGGTCGAGGGGAAAACGTGCGCATTTCGTATATCCGACACGGAGACATTTTAAAAGCCATATTAATTCTCTTCCCGGAAACTCTTTTCTCTTTTTCTTTCTCGCAATCTATTCGCTATTCTGTCCAAATGGAAATTATTCAAAAATACGACCGACGAGAAAAAAAAAGATGAGAATATATTCCAGTATTATATATTCCAAGAATACGTGCTTAACGTGACAATGACGTAATATACATACAATGACGTGATCAAGTAGTCGTATACTGTCGCATAAACATTACAAAAAGATGAAAACTTGCGAAATCCCGCGATTTTTTGAACAACCACATGTTTTAATCGCAAATAATGAGTAATGCGATGGAATACATTGGTATATGTGTATATATATATGTACGTGATATCTAACCTTCATTTCGTCGCAAGTGGAAAGTCGTAGAAAGTTGACACTTCTATTTACTATGGAGGCAATCGTTACACGATTTCTTGAACACAACACGACGCGACAACAAATTCGGCGAACAGATTACGACTTTGTTTGCGCGAGTGAACGTACATACGCGAATAATTTTTCGAAGAAACAGCGGAGAGGAGTCGCCGCTTGAAGAGGGACGCGAACCGTTGACGTCTTAACGAACGCACATCGATATCTCGATCAGCGTTTCGACCTTTCGATTCTTTATTACAGACATTGCAGATATATCATGGGCATAATACATATTTTATTAATTAAAAGAGAATATCAAGATACGTTTTGAAATACAATAGTCATTTTTTAAATGTTATATTTTTAAACAATATCAGCGACTTATTATTATTAATTACACGATCAAATTTATGTAACAAATTATATTTGTATTCATAATTAAAATATTATATTTATATTTATAATTATAATAAAATTGTAAATTGACGTTATTAATTATACAATTAAGAAATATTAACAACATTAAAATAATCGTGGTATCGATTATCGATGCAAACGTCCATTATTCATTATTTCGAAATATCGATTATCGTTAAACGATAGTTGATACCGAAAGATAAATTATTTATATTTCTCCGCGTATTTAATTCATTTCGAACGAACATTTTGCAGATGAGACGAAATTTAAAAAAATATCAACAGCCAGATTTTCAATGCAAATACTGCACGTCGTTGCAGCTTTTTGCATATAATCGATCTCTCGTTTCGTGTAACAGTTCGTCTCGGCAACGATGTCGGACGGTAACGCGGATTTATTGTTAACTAATTAGCCGTTCACCGTGGAACCGGGTGCCGTTTTCCGTTTTAAATTCGATTCGTTGTGCTTATCTCGCGCGTTCGAATTGCCAACGGATATTCGTTTACGACCGTGAGTACGTATACACGTATTATACACGTCCGAAGGAATATACATGTATTGGTGATGCATAGAAAACCGTTGACCCTAGCGGCCATTAAACGCGATCGGTAAACGTAAAGAATTTTAATTAACATTTTCTTTCAATTCGTGAACGATCGATCTTCTCGGACTCGGAAATTCGGATTGTTTTTTTTTTTTACGGAGTGTGTGTTTACGGAGAAGGATTTATTAATGGAAATGGTTCTCCGTCGCATCGGTTCGTACATAACCTTATTTTTATATGACGTATCCTGCGTAACAGTAGTTCACAAAACTTGCAGTATCATGTAACGTTGTAATTTTATCTGACGTTTTATATAGGTTTAACATTTTAACGCTTGAATTATGAGAAAGAAGATTATACGGCCCTGCAGTGTAATAATAGAGGCAAAGACGTGCAGTGGCTCACGGAAGCATTTGAATACAAACCATGGAAAACTTACATACAGGTAGGATGTACATACGTGTATTGTTTGTTTTGTATAAGAAAAGTTCTGTCGGTGAAATTTTGGAAAATAGACAGAAAAATCTTTGCGTAATTATTTAGAGATGATGTATAGATGTATCACGAGTACAGTACAACAGATGTCGACCGATGAAAGTGACAAATCCTCTGCAAAACGGATATTTAATGTGTAACATACATATTACACGAAGCGTTAGGATGTTAAGCCTGTCATAAACGCCTGGAAGAGTTAATTACTGTAGTGTAATTATCTCGTCGCCGATGGAAATCGATCTGTCATGTGTAAGCACAGGTTAAGGGACATCTTGTGCAATTTAACCTATAATATTAGCATTCAAAGAGCTTCTAAATGTCATTTACATCGATGTGTCGATATTGTTACAGTTTTCTTTTCTAGATCTTTTCGTTCGTCTCGTTCGTTTGGCATTGACCTACGTTACGGATCTCGTCTCGTTTAGTTGAATCACAGATGAGTCACAGCTTCGTGACATCATCTTGCGCAACGTATTCCTTGTCGACGTGCGCTTAAATGACAGATCGATCAGTGTAGTCTATACGCTAGACCCCATTATCCAAGAACAATTACTCGGGATTATGGAGCGGATTAAAACGAGCCGAGCTGTATAAATGGAAAACTGCGAATCCCTGTTTGCCAACTTAACGTTAATATTGAAAATGAGCCGTTCCGAACCGTATACATTAAGATTCCCTGTACACAAACTCCGCTAATTAGTCGTTAACTACAATCACTCCGCTAATTATTCTCATACAAATACTAGATAATGGCGAAGTGTAATAATATATATATGTATACACGGGGTCGCTGTACAATTAGCTGGTGAACTAACTTTAATTAGCTGGCAGAATGCGTTCATTCGACTATAGCTGAAACCGTTTTTTCTCTCACACGACTTTCCCTTTTTCGATTGTTGCACGGTCGATGCCGAGTGTGCAAATGGAGGCAATTAAAAAGTATATCGGCTGCTTGCTTCCATCGTTGCGTACAATTTTCAGACGTTTACGAGCGTTATCAATTAAAATTCAGTAATACTTTTTTTTTTTTTATTGCGAATTGAATCTTGCCATCTTGAGCCTTTTTCTTTCGTTTGTTTTTAAAATTTCTTTTTCATCGTTGACTTCTTTTCACCGTATTGTTGCAAATAACTTTAGAATATTAAAGCAATCACCTGGTATACCCGTTCGTGACGGTTTCAACGCAGCCCCGATCACTTTCCAAACATTAATTTTCGAAAAATATTGATTCGTGAAAATTTTAAAAATGTCAACGTCCGTACAATTAATTTCCCCATTCGTCGGACGTTCTGCTTAAACCCCGCTGTTTTCGTTAGTTCAATTAAATCTCCGATAACTCAATTATCGGACTCGTTTGCAACTTTCAACAGCAACCCCTCGAAACACACCAGCGCTGTACAATTTTCTCCGTTTCTGCCGTAACTTTTAGAAATTAACGATTGACAAAACGTTCTCCGATTTATTTCCAACTATTTGCAAACAATTCCATTTCGCAACCGTTCATCACCGATGACCGAGATTAAGAAAGTTTCAGAAGGTATTACAATTTTTGACAACGTAAATATGGGTTTGACAGGTAAGATTTTTTACACGGTCAAAAAAAAATCACAGTTCAACTTTTAAATTAGATCAGCAGAATTCACAATTATATGATAGACAGTTCGGCCATGGTATTTCAATTTTCTAATAAAATTTGGACATCATCTTGCCATCGTGCGTTACGCTCCCACATAGTTGAGAACGGAAGGCCGCTGAACGTTGCCTTCTGTGGAAATACTTGAGGAAACTCAGCCGGTAAGCGCGTATCGTGTTTCCGGGAAAATATGCACCGGTCTCGCAAATGAAGTTCCGCCACTTGGAATAGTTGGACCAGGCTCTTGGGTATGTACCAGGACTTCAGGACTGACCCATACCCCAAGGGGTGTTGGCAGAGCTGTAAGACAGGTAGTGACGTCACACAGCCAGCTGCTTCTCTCGCTTTCCTCTCTTACCTCGAAGCATGCTCTTCTTCTGGCGCCTCTCTGTGTATGTACATACATACCTTTTTCCAGTCGTTCCGAGTCGTTCTAAATGGTCCCCGAAATGGTTCCACTCCGTTACCTTCCCGAACGTTAGAACGCTCGTTCAAGGATAAAACTATAGTCTGCGAAATGGTTTTTTGTATGGTGTAAAGGGTAGAATATTGTGAGGAGGGGTGGAGAGAAGTTTAAGGTTAGTTAAGACAGGATAATTTCGTTCTTTTTTTTTTTTTTTTTAACAAGAGAGAGACAAGTCGTGCTACTTTAATTATAGCTGTTCAACTTTCTTTGGCATTGCTCTCCTTTTATTCGGAGAAACTTCTTATCGCAATTCTTGACAGAGTTTCGACGGAATTGATCTCTTTCTGTCAAATATGTGCGGTTA